TCAAAAATATTTACAAAAACAAAATTGTTATTATTATTGTTTCATCGTACCTGTCTTTAAAACTTGGTCTTTTATCTAACTATCATTCACATGGTTATGATATTGTTTTGCTCTTAACTTTCTAAAAACAAGTCTTTCGTATTTCAATAGTGATACTTTCCCTCTCTATTATATCTATAAACTCCTCGTCCTCCAGATTACCCTATTGGTAAGCTCACATAATCAATATTTGCGTAGGTGCTACGAATGGGAATCCACACCTCTCCATCTCTCTGTTTCACGACTCCATCACTGCGTTCTTCATTTATTCCAAGTCTTGTTTTGAAGGTGGATAGTAGGCATCAGTTGCATCTTCCTTTGTTTCTAAATCTTCCTTTGTTTGATTGTAGGCATCTTGGGCAATGCAGACTGCCCACAGCTTTGTCTGTCTCTGCTGCAACATCATCCCAAAATTCTTTGTTGGAGTACAAAAATTGTATCTCCCACTTAGGAGCGTATTACATGAATTTTAATTTTATAAGAAAAGTGATATTTTCCGATACATGAACCTTTTTCTCATTTTACAAAACATGAACAACTGTTTCACTTTTTTCCCGACAAAACAAGACAAGTTGTGTACTTAGATTGTTATGATTTTGATTCCTTACACTTTAAAGACTCGTGTAGTAACATTTCTACTTCTGGTTTTATGTTTGTTAGTAGATAGACATTGGAGAGGGAGGCATCGCTATCCCTCACAGGATAGCCTTCCACCAAAGATATTGATTGGTGGTTGATATCAATATCACTAAACCTTTCGGTTTGCATATATATGGATGATTAGGTTGGTGGATGGGCAATGTCGGTGGAACCATCATCACATAATGGGAAAAAGATTCCACTAATGAGTGTGGAAGGGGTCCCAAAGTTTGGAAGAGAGGCGAGAAAAGTGGATATGGAAAGAAGAAAATGAAAATGAGAGTGAAAAAAAACACTCGCCTATTGGATTGGGTTGGATTGGATTGCGTTACTGGGTTAGTGTTAGTACGCCAAAAGCATGCATGATGGGTGTATGCTTCAAATGATCTGAACCAAACAATGCCCCGGTCACAAAACCCTTCTCTTTTTCAACATTTGGCTTTTATCCAAACCCTATTTTATTTTATGGTTCACATTCTAAAACCCATCCCTTCACTAAACATAGTGCTCAATGCCCTTCTTCCTTTTTTTTTTTTTTTTCTTTTTCTTTTTTAAAAAAAAGGTTTCCCTCAATGCTTTTGGACCATAATACCACAATACCTTTTCTTATTATTGCAATCGAGACTCAAATCAACTAATATGGGAGTCCCAATTGTGTATTTTCATTTTCTATTTTGTTTATTATTAAATAAAAATATATTTTAAAAGAATTAAACAAAAAGTTGGTTATAAAAATAAGGAAAGAAGATTATATTCCTTCCTCGTCAAACTTTGAAACAAATATATCTAAAAAAGCTGTCATATGGAAGAGAAGATGGGGAAGCTGAGATGGTTGAAACAAAAATATGTTTTAGGGTTTTAATATTATATATATATATTCAAAACAAAAACAAAAAAAATTATAAATAAAAAAAACAAAAAAAGTAGATTGTTTTTATTGACACGTGAATTTCATCAAGTGGCTGTATTATTACCCAAAAAATAATGCCCTTCCCCACCCCCCCACTCACTCTAAACCCTTCCAACCGGATTATCATTTATTTTTATTTATTTTTTAAAAAAATTAAACTTATAAATATTATACTCTAATTATTCTAAGACAACAAAAGAAAAAACAATACCATAAATTCTCGTGAATAAATTAGTTTTTTTTTTTTTTTTTTTTTTTTTTTTTTTTTTTTTTTTTTTTTTTTTTTTTT